AACATGATGTTGCTTACTGGTCCAGTTCTGAGGATTTCTGTTTTATTTATGTTGAGGACTCCTGTAGGGTTTCCAAGGCTGCAAATCTTTATGGAAGTAAATTGCCTTATCTTCCTTCAGCTGAGCAGGTGGTGAGTTTGAACTGCCTACTTTCCAGTTAGCAACCAAATGCCTTACCTACTGTGCTACCACACACACACACACACACACAGATACATATGTACATATATATACACACACACATACTTTTTATGTTATGTATACATATATATAATTTTTATTTATTTTCACAAAAATGAAATCATATAGTACATAATGTCTGTACTGGGGCAAGTTACTAAACCTCTTGAGGCCTTGCTTTTCTGACTTGTGAAATGGGGATAATAATACTTGCCTTACAGGGTTGTTGGAAGAATTATGTGATTAATATGTAAAGGAGATGTCTAACAATGGCAGCTACTGTTAATGCTCATGTTACTGAGAGAGCATTTTTCTCTTCTCACTTCTGGGCATATAAACTACTGGTTTTAACAGCTTAGCAACCAAAACTTTTCAAATGACAGAAAGCTGATGTTGTATTGTTTTGGAGGCAGAGGGACTACATTGACTCTCCTGGCTACACCCATCCCTGCACACAAACTCCCTGTGCTTCCCATCTGAAGCACAGCACCAAGATAGACAGGTGAGTCTCTTCCAGAGAGAAGTCTGAGCTTCCCTTTAGAGCGCATATGTGGGTGTGGTGGGTATGGGGATCTGAGTCTCTCTCCACCTGGGGGACTCTGAGGAATGTATCTGTTGGGAAGGCACCTGTGTCTTACTGGGTGTGAGTATGGGAAGTATGTGTCTGTGAAGGGGGTATGTAAGTCTCTATGGAGGTATGTGCCTGTGAGGGGGGAGTATATCTGCATGTGGGGCTTGGCAGCAAGTATGGGCTGGGTGTCGCTCTCAATGTGTTGGTCCCCCCCCCCCCCCCCCCCATACCTTCTACTTTTTCTTTCTGCTCCTCTTACTATCTTTGTCCCTTCCACCTTCCTGGAACATGTGTTTTGTTCTTTCTTTTCCCTCTCACTCCACTTGGTCTCCCCTTCCTTCTCTGTGATTGTCAATGTCAGCCTCTGCCCTGATAATCTTTCATTAAAACAACAAATATTGATAGGGTCCTTTCCTTTGAGAGATATGGCAGTGAAAAAAAGGCAAGACAGTTGGTTCAGAGGTGGTAAAGTTAAGCAGAGGTCTAGTTTGAGTAATGGGGCACCTGAGCACATTTGTTGGGAGAAGAGGGAGGTGGTGGAAAGAGTAGTGCACTGATGCCAGAGAGTAGAGAGGTCTGAGATAGGTCCCAGAGAATTCTCAAGAGACAAAACCCAAGCTCAGATGAAGTCAATGGCTTTGGCCTGACTGTGCTTCCTTCCTCAGGGTTAGTAAAGCTGAAGGAGAAGACAGGCACCATGTAACAAACCTCAAGAACAGGGAGAAAGGCAGTAGCGGAAAAAGATCCTATGGCCTGTCCCTTTTCATCAAAACAGGGGATGAAGCCACTCATCCCTGAGTATGGTGCATGGTAGGAGGAGGAGAGCCTTGAGTGTGGCAGGTGAAATGAGGATTTAGGGCAGCTGCTGTGTGGTATGTGAACGCCAGAAGAGAAGGAGGACAGCAAACTGAGGCTAGACAGTATGACCTTCTAGTAGACGCTTTTTGCAATGGTTTTGAGATGTTCTCTAGCTGTACTGCCAGACGAGAAGCAGATAAGAAGGAAGGATGTGTCAAGGGTCAGTGGAAAGGCCAGAGGAACAGCAGCTTCTGGGAATTGACAAAAAAACCTGGAAGAGCTCTTCTCATGGATTTTAGGACCTGGTGTGCAAATAACCTGTTTGTGTGCCTGACTTCTATGCCTGGCTGTGAATCTGTTTAGGTCTAGACTTGCTAGCATCTCTTTCTTTCCTGCCTTCAGCATAGTGCCTGAGACAAGGAAGCATTGGAGAATGTTTGCTGTATTGAAAAGCTCATCAAGGTCCAGGAGAAGCAGGAAGACAAAAATAAATAAATAAATAAACACAAACCAGAAGGAGGTCAATAGGCAGGTAGAGCTGAGAGAGGGCAAGGGGTTTGGTGGTAGAAAGCCATGGCAAAGACACAGAGGTGTTCAAAAGCAAAGAGAGAGAAGAGGTGGCAAAGGAATGAAGCCAAAATCGGGGGGAGAATCCTTCAGCCACAGACATAAGAATTGAACAAGTTTCAAATGGTTAAATGACACTAGATGTGGCACCCTGCTAGGTGCTGACAGTGCTTTTCAGTCTACAAAGTCCTTTTGCACATACATTATTTTATTTCATCCTCAAAATCCATCTGGAAATAAGTATCAGTATTTTCACCTCTCTTAAGGGAGGAGGGTCAGAGAGGCAAAGTCACTTGCTGTAAACTACACATCTAGCAGTAATGGAGCTGAGAAAGAGACTCAGATGTCTCCTTCTGCCTCATCCTTGTTTGTGCTCCTGCATGGCCTCACTGAGGGAGGGGAATGACATCTCTACAGGTGACAAAATACAGTGAACGTGAGTATGGCTGGAATAAAGGAAGGCCAAAGGTGTGGATTTTAGAGCCATGGAGGATGGCAGGGAATTTCGTGGAAACATGTAGACCTCTCAAACAAACGGTGGATGGAGACAAGCAGACAACAGTGACACGGCAGGAAAGAAGGTTCTTAGGTGCTTTGCTAGGAGCCAAATCACAGAGTGGAACTTGGGTCAGTGGTCAGTGAAGCCTTGGAATAGAAGGAGCAGCTTCAACTGAAGAGGATCCAATGTTTCATAGACTGCCCAGTGAAAAGAGAGATGTTACAGAACTTGATACAGGGCCTGTTTCTTCATAAATACTGTCTGAGGAAAAGGGCAGGCATGAGTATTTAATGTAATAAATTGGTGAATTCATCATGAGGGGTTTATATCCTTATTCCTTTGTAGCTACAAAAATTATAATACCTTATACCTAATCTAGAAGGGATTTAAAAATAGAACTTAAAACCAGTAGTACATGAAGTCACCATATAACTAGAAATTTTCAAAAATAAATCAAGGTATAAAGAGATATAATGAACAAAAGGCTGGGCTCAGTTATATGATGAATCAAAAAGAAATTTAAAATAGGTCAGGACTGTATACTCTACATGGTGAGCAACACACTGCCCCTTAGCTTCTTAAGAGGTGGGAGGAAGGAATGGACAAAAATATTCACCATGATAAGATATATAATAAAAGTGGAAGGGAGGATAAATCATTAACTACAGGATAGATAAAAAAAACTAAACACACTGCCACTGAGTCAGCCCCAACTCATAGTGACCTCCCCTTGAGTTTCCGAGGCAGTATCACTATGGAAGTAGATTGCTCAACCTTCCTTCCAAGGAGTGGGTGGTGGGTTTGCACCGCCAGCCTCTGGTTAGCAGTCAAGTGCCTTAGGCACTATGCCACCAGAGCTCCCAACTACAGGGTAGACACATATTAACTTGGGTGAAGGGGAAGGCAATATATAATAAGGGAGATCAGCACAAAATGATCAATGAAAATGAAGACACAGGGAGGAGCACAAGGCAACAGAGATAAATACTGTTACATACACAATCCTGCAATAACAGTAATTTACAACTGGGTCCATAAATATGTGAGCAAAAGAGGTATAGGAAGGTGATTAGTACTATACCCACCAATATACATAGGTTTGACAGAGGATACTTCTGCATATGTATTCATATGTGCTGCAAATATATCCATGAATAGAGCAGAACATGCAGGGGGCAAAGTTCTGAAAAATTCTTAGCCATAACCAAACATTTTAAGGAAATGAGTCATTTGGCCTGGGGGCTCAGGACCATAGTCTCAGGGGACATCGATAGGCATAACACAATCTACAAAGACAGTAGTCTACATCTTACTTTGGTGAGTAGTGACTAGGGTCTTAAAAGCTTATGAACAGCCATCTAAGGCACAACTATTGCTCTTTCCCCATCCAAAGCAAAGAAGAATGGAGAAAATCAAAGACATATGGAAATGATTAGTCCAAAGGACTATGGACCACGTGGACCTCAGCCTTCATGACTCTAAGGCCATATGAACTAGATGGTGCCTGGCTACCACTGCTGACTGCTCTGAAAGGAATCAGAATAAAAGGTCCTGGTAGAGTGGGAGAAAAACGTAGAACAAAATCAAAATCACAAGAAAAGAATAAAGACCAGGCTTACTACTGGTCTCATAGAGACTGACAGAACCTCCCAGACTATGGCCCTTAGATATCCTTCAAGCCTGGGACTGAACTCACCCTCCATGGCCAGTAAGGTGAATGATAACACTAGGGAGGTACACACTTAGAATAATCTATTATACAAGATCAAAGGGCAGCATTTGCCCAGGGATAAAGCTGAGAAGGCAAGAAGGGATAAGAAAGAGGGATGAATGGAAATGGAGAGGAAGTGGGAAAAATGTTGTTACCCTGTGAGATTGCAATCAATGTAACACACACAAAAAAAATGTTCATAACTTGCTGAATGGAAAACCAGTTTTGCTCTTGAAATTTCTACCTAAATCACAATAAAAAATTTTTTTTTTTTAAAAAAGATACATAATAAATACAAAAATGAGCCAATTCCCTTACTACTATGCTCTTGAGAGGACCACAATCTTCTTTGATGGTTCTGAGCTACATCTTTGTTATGCCTGGGGTTTCTTGGGATGAGAGTGAGCCCTACACAGTCAAATAAAAAGCAACAGTGGAATGTCTTTTCTCTCCCAGGACAATGTGGCTCCTGGGTGGACCTTTTCAATGAGATGACTGGAGAATGGGCTAGAGATCCCAGAAAAAAATTATGTCTGGTCTGGAGCCAATCACTGATCCAATGACAATATTTTGAATCACCTGTTGTTGGGTGTCAGGGCTTTGGCCCATCAAATGGTCCCTTTCTCCAGAAGCTCTCAATTTCTAGCAGCCAGTTAGTGTCTTTTCCTACATACGTATAGTGCTTCCTTATCAACTTTTGCTGGTTTAAGCTGTTGGAAACAATGTCTTTAATCACATTACACTGGAGAAGAAAAATTATTCATAATGAGAACAGATCCAAATCAGTCTCACAGACAGTCTCTTTTGCAATCTACCAAAGACAGTGATGAGGACGACACTTCAGCAGGACCTCACCATGAGCCAGTGTTTCTACATGGTGTCCTTGCATCCCTCATCTCATTTCATCTTTAAATAATTATGTATCAAACAACTTTATTTTGCAGGTGAGCAAACAAAATCTTAAGCCAAGTGACTTGCTCAAGGTTATATAGCTGGAAGGTAGAGAGCTGACTGTAAAACACATTTCATTAAACAGTGAAATTCTCATCAAAAACTTCTGAGGGTTCTGATGTCTGGTTTGTGCTTCCAAACCACAGCAGACAGCAAGTCTATGGAACATGTCAGGATTTGGTGGGAGCCTGAAGACCTTAGAGATCTCGAATGCCTTATTGCTATCTCCCAATTTCTCTTTGGGAGAGAGAGGAAAAAAAAACAACCACCCTCCATCATGATCAAGTGGGATTCATATCATGTATGCAGGGATGGTTCAACATTAGAAAAGCAATCAACGTCATCCACCACATAAATAAAACAAAGGAGAAGAACCACATGATCATATCAATTGATGCAGAAAAGGCATATGATAAAATCCAACACCCATTCCTGATC